TATTATTTGCTTTAGTTTTTTTCTTCATCAAATATCCACCCTATTCTTGGGATAATGACTTTAGGCATAACTCGTCTCTGCTATTTTCAAGTTGTAAGCGATTTGCCACTTCTATTTCCAACAAAAAGACAGAGATTTCATCCGTTACAACAAATTCGTTCACAATTCTCTTTTTCTCTAATGGATTCCTTACCTACCTATGATCTTAGTCAGTCTGACTTGTCATTAGCTATGTTACTGCAGTTGGGCCTAGCTTCAATTATTATTCCAGCTTCCAACACTCCTGTTATTCTGGCCTCTGAGTCAATTATTTCTGTGGTTTTCCCTCACAACAACGTCCGTATGTCTAAGATCTTGGTACGCGATTTGCTTCATCGTGGGTCCCAATACACATATTCTTCAACAACAATCTGATCGTGAAACTATATTCCCCTAAGCTACTTCGTAAATTTGGGGTCGCAATAACCAATGCGTATATGCAACCTACTGGTAACTTTCGTTGTGTCCTGGGTGCCAGTATATAGTCTACTGGGTCTATCAATTTCCGTCCTCTTCTTGAGTCCTAAATGTCCACATGTATTCAAGCATTCGATCAACCAACACAATTGCGAGCTATATTGCGTGATTCCTTGTTCCCTCCAAAGCCTGCGACCACCTTTTACGGACGTGCTAATTCGACCTGGTAGAATACTGGCTATACTCATTTCGCTTGATTCGAATGACTTACAAAAACAAAAAAATCTACTGTCGCCACTTCTTTATCATTCGTTTTCATTGTTGCTTGTATTTTACTTGGAATCTGGAGATCTCGATTGAGACAAGTTTTTGACGATCAACCTTTCACATTCACAACGGTGCTTCCATTCTGCAATCCAATCGTATGACAACTATACTTTCAAACGCTGGCCGTTTAAAAACAGTGTGCTTTCTTTCATAAAAAATACTTCTTTTGACTTGTTGTCCCAATTGTGCTCTTGGTCACTCGTAAAACAAAAACAAAAAACACAAAAAAGCAAATAATCACCCCTCAGTAACAATAAATAAATTTTGAAAGACAGCGCTGTCTTTTGGGACAGCCAAAGTGCACGTAGTGGCAACATAAGATCTGTAATTTCGATGTTCTCTAGACCTGGGAACAAGGATATACAATCAAAAAACAATGTAAGAATTACGCATAAATGTTTATTAAACGATTTATACTTATTTTGACATCTGTCATCACTCATTCGCCTTTGAGCTCGTTTGATCTTAAGCTCATGCCGAAATGCTAAACCAGAAGCTGAAGGTAAGCTGTAAAACACATATACTGGTTTAAACTATGTTGTTTGTACTAAATGTGTATATATTTTAAGCTGTTAATTTATATTGACCTCTTGATGTCTGTTAAGGATATCATGGATATAATAACAAAGTTTTTTTTTTTTTTTTTTTTTTTTTAACCTTTTACGTCTTTTTTTAACCTTTTATGCTTATCTCACTGTAAATGTCTCGTATTTTGGATGGATTTTTGCCAGTATATTGATCATGCCCACCTATGATGCTGTGTATCTTTGCGTAGGTACGATTTTTGACACCATGTATTAGCTAAAGCTTGCTGATAATCACACAATATAAGCTGGGCAGTTGAAAATTAATAATCCTTAATAGTTTCTCTCATATAAGTGCTTCAAGTGGCATTTCTAGAACAAACATAATCCAGAGTGGCGAGCTACTTCTGGGTTTATTTACCATAAAAGGTAATATAATCACGTGTCCACATTTACTCTTGTAACTGTTTTTTCCGTCAACCACTGTCTGAGGCTCCCCATTCTGCTGAGATTCGCGCCCAGTGACTTCGGAATCTGGTTCCGCAATCGAATCAGTCTGGAGGAGCCGAGGACACCCTTTTTTTTTATTTTTTTTATCATTTTTAAATTCCGCGCCTATAACATCGTACTGACATTCCCAAATTTCTGGTTCCAAATACGCGTACAATGTTGGAATTTCATCTCTTTTTGAAAGCTAATTTTTTTCGGCTATGTATGGATAAAAAGCAGTGATTTATTCATAAGGCATTACTTAGTCTCCTACACATATAGCCATTTATGTGATGAATTTTATAAAAAAAAAAAAAAAAAAAAACGAACGTCGATGTTTGGTAATGTCAGGAACGAGACAGGCAGGACAGTACAGAGAATGAATAGCTTCTTGGAGCAGGTTATTTATTTAAGAATAAAAGGGAGAAAAGAAAAGAGAAGATGATTATGAAATATATCTGATAAAGAAAACTGGGAGAAGTGAAATTTATCAGCTATATTTATAGAGAAAGAAAAACAAGAAATTAAATAAAAGAATAAGCAATGACAAAAGTTAGCCATAGCTTATATGGATCATGACAAAGGATTTAAAGAGCTGATAGATCAATGATAAATATTGAGTCTGAAAGCTGGTTACTCATAAAGCATATTTGTGGCATAAGATCTAACAGGATCATGACAGGTAAATCAATGACAGCGTCAAGATTGGAAAAGAATACCAAGAAACTGCCCATAAACCAATATTGACACCATATATTATCTGGAGCCTGCTGATAATTACACAATTTAAGATTGACAGTTGAAAAGTAATAATCCTTAATAGTTTCTCATATAGTGCTTTAAGTGGTATTAGACAGGATCGAATCATGCATAAAAACAATAAAAACCATCATATAATCATTACCAAGTAATATCCCCTCTTTTCGTCGCTGTATGTTACCTTTTGTATCTATCTTTTCACAAAATTTTGTAGAAGCTCATTAAAAAAACGATTTAGCTTTTTACATCTAAAAGCACTGTATTATTTACTCATTCATGGTATACTACTGGATTTGAAAAGTAATAATCCTTAATAGTTTCTCATATAAGTGCTTTAAGTGGTATTAGACAGGATCGAATCATGCATAAAAACAATAAAAACCATCATATAATCATTACCAAGTAATATCCCCTCTTTTCGTCGCTGTCTGTTACCTTTTGTATCTATCTTTTCACAAAATTTTGTAGAAGCTCATTAAAAAAACGATTTAGCTTTTTACATCTAAAAGCACTGTATTATTTACTCATTCATGGTATACTACTGGATTTGTATCTCCTTTAAAATCACTCTCAGAACACTTTTGTTTTCTTCTTTCTTTTATAAACAATAGTTAGCTATGCTGATTAATTGAAGTCTGGTACTCACTATCACATTTGTAAATTAATAACAACTGTCGCTTTTCTACATTTAAATCCGTACTAGCGCTATATCACCACCACAAAGAAAATTTAACGCAGGGAAAAACTGCATCTTTTCCAAGCCTATGGTTACAAGCTATAACAACGAAGAAATATCCAAGCGGTGACATGAGTGTATCTTCAGTAGACATTGCTGAAAAATCTGGCTACATACAAAAGAGATCAATCGCTTTTTAAAAGGCATTGGCCATGGTTGACGGGTAGTTAGGCCAATGCTTCCTAAATCAGGTAGTGCGATATGTACACATTTGGATCATACGAGACTTTGATGATCTCTTGCTTTATCATTAGGAGTTGAATTTACATCACCGTCACCATGGTTTTAATGGATGCGGTTGATACGCTGAAGTTGACCTTCCCGGACGTAATTTTTCTCTTTCATCATTCAAGCCAAAGTATCCATCCCTTTTGTTTTATATGGTCCCTGTTAATGCATTCATCCATCCATGCATGAAAAAAAAAAAAAATAAAAAAATAAAAAAAAAAAATTGAGCTGAGCTGGATGGATCGATGGATCGAACGCTCTACCATCTTTAAAATGCTACCAACAAAATCATTTTTTTAAATATACATATTAAAAAAGCTCACTGCTTTTGGCACCGTCGCTACCGGAAAATACCATCACTGAATCCTTATAAATAATGTTACATCGCGCCCTTTTTTTCTCTCCCTTTGGCAGCTTGTACCACAGCAGTAGTAGATAAGGAGAGTTATCTACTATCGGTTTGGCAGTGCGACTCAGTCTCACGACACACGCTATTTTAAATCCCAGGTGAAATAATTTTTTTTTCTAAACATAAAAAATCTTATGGGTTATTTTCAATAACAAAATGCATTTAATACTTCCTCCTTCACCAGTAAATTATACACCATATTATTCTGTTGGATAAAAAAAAGATTGAGTACATTCAGGTGATGTAATGAGAAAACTTTCACAATAACGGATGGTGCATCAGCACTGCCAATGTAGGGATATTCAATTTCAATAGCCAATAGGAAGTGAGATGTAAATATTCATACTTGAACAACGAATATTGATATGCCCGAGTGTCATTATGTTTGTCTTTTTTTATAAAAATGCACAGGGAGGTTAAGGGAACGTTTGTTTAGTTGGAGGTTTTTCAAAACCGTCAAAAGTTCTCTATTAATCTTGCATGGAAGCTGTTCTTTTTTTTTTTCTTTTTTTTTCTTTTTTTAAAAAACCGAAAACATTTTTCTTCGCTTTTTTACTTTCTTATCACTCAATCACCGTAATAATACCATCCTTGTTGAGACATTACTTGAAGACATGTATACATATAAAAGGTGTATTACATTCCTTCGATCGGATGACAAGATAAAAAGACGAAAAAATTATCAACAATCTACAGCATACTACAGCTACCAGCAGATGCCTGTTTGTCAGAATCTTGACCACTGGGCTCGACGTGTGACGGGTCGAAGCACCATGTTGGCTCATTACCTCCATCATGGCTAAGAATTGCTTCTGTCCATTTCAAGGCTTGTGCGAAAAATAAAAAACAACGGAGCCAACAAACTATTATTGATTCGTCACCTTTCGTAAACTGTTAAAAGAGGAGTGAGTTGGCTATTTACGTTCTACTATCGCATGATACTAACTTCTGATATAGACTGCAGAACATGACATACTGGTTTCCACGCGACACTTTTTTTGTATACCATCTGTAAATTTGAGTCACGTATACAGCTGATCCCTTCCACATGCGTGCAGTCATTGTAATCGTATAATTGTCTAGTGTGAACAGTAGATCAGAAAGCGGGTGTCGGTAGTATTTGTCTAAAGACTTCATGATCACCTCTTATTGAACACCTTCCATCAACAAATTCACAATAACTCGACTGGTCAAAAAGGCTCCCACAATTGACTTCCCTCAGTATCGTCTGGGCTATCAACAAAGCTTGATTCACCATCATACGGTCCTGTTGTGATTAAATTTAAGACGCACTCATCTATAACCCTCCCAACACAAGCCGGAAGTGCAATTTTTTCGAAGATATTACTAGAGTTTTTTTCACTTTGTCTATTAGATCTGATCAGTTTGGAATATTTTCTTATAGTACGCTCCATGGTTCTTATAGAGTAAGCACGTAGAGGACCTTGTTTTCTGATAATGAGCGGAATATGGATTAAATAGTCTTGAACTGGTCGAAATACGGCACGCGATAGGTTCTTATGACCCATCTGTTCAACAAGAAATTCATGCAAGTCTTGAAATCATTTGTAGAAGGTTGAATAAAGGGGGTGAGTAACAAAGTATTATGGCAAGCATTCTTATTTCATTTTACTTACGTTTCCATTCTGGTCAGAGTTTGTTGTTGAACCTCCCATTTTAATGCAAGACCACACCCTTTTACCAGCGAAATAATTGCATTTTGGAGCTCTGGGTTGGAAGGTGTACGATGATTAATGTTGGAACAACATACAAAAGAAAGGCAAGCCAATCTACGGCACGAGTCCCATCTGTTCTGGCTATCCAGTTATAAAAACTACTCTGGAACAATACTAGTATGTATCTTCTTGAGTGCTTAATGGCGTTGCCTATTTCTATCAACTTGGGCTTGGGGATGAAAAAAGGGTAACAGGTTTTACTCTGGATCCGATCGACAATTGAACAAAAAAGCATTATTTTTGGAAATATCCACCATGATGGAATCGTACACAAGCTTACCAATACCTCTAGTTACTAAATGTAACTAATCCAATGCAAAAAAACTAGGA